CATTTTACACATTGTACATATACGTGTTTCATTTGTTTATCTTTCGTATCAATGCAGTTTATTACTGTGCATGCATCATCTTCCACAAGAAGTTGCTAATCATTAAATACCAAATTATAATTGTTAGAGAACTCGGACGAGTTTCTCTTCCAAAAAGGTGGCAAAGCGAGATTAGGCTGAAATTTTGGAAATAGCTTTATTTTACGTAGAAACAAAATATAGCAAAAGTAAATGCAGCCTTTGTATGATTTTTGCGCCGGCAATTCTATTTTCTAGGATACTAGTTCGCCATATTTCCGATAGATAGCATTAGAGTAGCTGATTCGCGTCTGGGTGATTTCATTCTCTCACTTGACAAGACTTTGCTCAAACTTTGATGAATAAGAGCGAATAAAAAATCATATTCGTTTGTTTGATCAACAAATTAAAAAATAAATAATTGTTTGTATATACGTGATGTATTAAAATAGGGATAGATTTTGCACGGAATCATTGTTTCAACCATTCGCACCGTAATGCGAATAGAGAGGCACACTATATTCAATTGTAAGATTATTTATAATTTAATAGAAAAATTAATTTTTCACTCGAAAATAATTCATTGTTATATTGAATCGTAAATATTCAATACGTAGATGCGCGAAACCGCAAATTGGCAAATGATATAACAAACGAATGTTTTGATCTCGTTTTATTTCTGAATATCAAGATTTAAATTATTAACATAAATACATTCACCTTGATGTGTATATGCAATAACGCTCGTGAAATATTTAAGGTCGACAACGTTCCAAGAAACGTGGATAAAGGCATGCATCGCGTATGTGATATCTATTCAAAAGCCAACATAAAAATCTTTCGAGGCCCAATCCGAATCCGCCGTGAGGGCAGCTCCCGTATTTTCGCTGAAGAAAAATTGTAAAATTGATGTAAAACGGTAAATTCTTCCAAGTACAAGAATCGATATTCACCTGATCGGTATACCAATAGTATGGTTTTGGATCTATATTTGCGTTCGAATAGCCTTCCAACAGGTCGTCGTAATGCCAAATACGCATCGAACCTCCGACTATCTCACCAACATTCGGTAAAAGCACGTCCACCGATTCTGTAAGATTCTTGTCATCGGCGCAACGTTGCATATAGAATGACTTGATTTCGGCAGGAAATCTGCATAACATTATTGGTTCGTTTATAGCGTCGGTCATTTTTCTCTCTGGCATTTCTGGAATGTCCTATGAATGAAAAAGATTACTATTCCTTTTCCTCCTTTTGTTTTTTTTTTTTTTTTTTTTTTTTT